TTGTCTTTGTTCATGTCTTTTCCCGGGTGTCTTTGTCTTTGCTCGGGTTTGTCTTTTGTCGGGAGTCTTTGTCTTTGCTCGGGTGTCTTTGTTTTTCTCAGGAATCTTTATCTTTGCTCGGGTGTCTTTGTATTTTCTCGGGAGTCTTTGTTTTTGCTCTGAAGTATTTGTCTTTTCTCGGGTGTCATTGTCTTTTATCGGGATCTTTCTTTTTTTTGCTCGAGAGTCTTTGTCTTAGCTCGGGAGTGTTCGTCTTTGTTCGGGAGTCTTTATCTTTGCTCGGGAGTATTTGTCTTTGCGCGAGAATCTTTGTCTTTTTGGGTGTCTTTTTCTTTGCTCGGGTGTTTTTGCTTTTTCTCAGGAGTCTTTGTCTTTTTCGGGTTTCTTTGTATTTATCATAATATGTCGGTTCTTGGAGAAAAGTTCAACAAAAAATGGGACCCGAGGTGCGAGATGCTAGTTTAAAGTCTAGAGGCAAGCTGTTACGATTTAGTACTTGTTTGTTCGAGCGATTAAATTATATCGATCGAAATGAGTGCCGCGATAAAAGCAAGGATATTAAAATTGAGTGACGCTAGTAATAAAGTAATCCCCACTGTTATTGTATAATAGACATTGTCTAATACACAATTAGTCTAATAAATGGCAATTAGTGATATATACGCAATTTAAAGCAAATAATAATGTAATATAGAGTCGCCGTAAACCCCCTTTAACTGACACCCTTACGTATATAATTAGAGAATAATATTTTGGTGAGTACAAAGCCTTCGTAAAGTACTCAGAAGAGAAATGTAGAAAATTCAGGGTGTTTTTCTTTTTAATTTAATTTCCCAGAGGAACAACAATTAGAAAAATAAGATTGTAAATCCTCTTAATTGGAGGGAAAGATATTTTTGTGCGCACAGATATTTGGTACACTTACCTTAATCTGCTTCAATAGTGGGAGAATAAGTTTGATCCTTGTTCTTGAGCCATACAGAACTAACCTCATTAGAAACTTGGGGTTTTAAGCTGTTTTAAACCCATATCATATTCTCTTGGCGTCAGTTTAAATCGACGCTTTCATTTTTCAATATATATCTAAATTATAATCATAAATTAAAATCCTAAAAGTGAATTTTTCGACTAAATTTTTCGACTAAATGTTTCGACTAAATTTATTTACATCCGAGTTTTCACATTATATTAAGATAATTCGAACTTTAAACAAAATACTCAAAATATATGGAAGGGAAACTGATAAACTTTAATCTTCGTGCTGCAAAAATAAAAAATAGAAAAGTAACGCTCCAAAGTACGATTTTTCCATTGACACCGCTATTATTTTAACTACCTTTACTCCTCAGCAATGTTTATTATTTGCATAAACGATGATTAGAATTGTAATAAAACCTAAACATATGATAAAAGGGAATTTATACATATTTTTTTGAGAATTTACAACAAAAATATTAAACACTGTTTATTTATTAGATTGTTTATTTACAAAAATAATTTTATATTTTCAACATTCTAAAAACTAATACAATTAAAACTAATGCAATGCAATATTTATCATTTACCAATTTATAATGAAATTAATAAGAAAATTTTTTATCTATAAAATTTACTAAATTATTAAAATATGTGAACCAACTATAAGGAAATCGTTCTTATTTACCATTTTATAAAGTTCGAATCGATTGGCAATTAGCTGATGTTTTGCCAACCATTCCAATAAATAATATAATAAATAATGTTTATTATTTTTGTTGTCAACAACAAATAAAATGTATAAATTCACTTTCATATACCAATCATCACTTAAGACAGTAAACATTGCTGAGGAGTAACGGTAATCAAAATAATAGCGGTGTCAAGGGAAAAATCGTCCTTTTGACACACTGTTTTTTGCGAGTATGAAGGTTAATGATTGTGGGAAAATGGTTATTAACCCCTATCCTCCTAGAGTCAAAGTAAACTAACTATGTTTTCCGTATTTTAAACTATAATTTTATGGCCTAATTTTGAAAAGTGAAAATTTCATTGAAATTAGTTGGAAAAATTTCCAAGTTTTCATGTGAAATCAAGAAAATATGAACTTTAAACCAAATGGTCGGAATATAGAGAGAAAAAAGAATGTGTCAGTTTAAATCGTGTTTTTTTTGTGTTTTTTTTATCCCTTGTTTCCTGTTTTGGATTGCGTTTCCGGATTCTTCTAAAGTCTGCTATAGCTTTATACCCCTAACGCTTGTTCTTTTCTTCGCTAATATAAGTCCACACTAACCCTCTAGCTTGAGTGGCTCTTGGAACTTGTACTAGGTGAACATTAGTAATATATATATATATATATATATATATATATATATATATATATATATATATATATATATATATATAAAAAAAAACAATAAGATATATAATCCGGTGTTCTTATAGATATTTTTTATTTTACAAAATAGTGCTCAATGTAAATTTACATAGCATTAATATTATAAATTAATTGATTTAAAATATGTTTTTTTTTCGCTACACAGTTCTAACCATGTTTCAAAATGGAAGCTAAAAGCCCCGAATTTAATTTTGTGATTAAATTAAAGACATTAGTTCCATTTCATCTTCAAGCGAATTTTGGAGTAACTTTTAAAATTACTGGGTTTTAAATACACAGCTAAAACAAAATTCATGCTTCCAGGGTTACAGATAAATCTATTTTTCTAGACAGGGGTGTCTGGGTGTTCAAAATACCTATATTTTAATGTATCAGTTATTGCTACGTTTTGGTAGTGGGTAGGAATGTAGTTTTCAATTAAATCTAACATCCGTTAAAAGCGTGTCGTCTGGATTTTTTTAAAAATTATATTGTTAACGGCTAAAATTCTTACGGCATTTTTTTCGTATATTTATATATATGTTTTTGTACAATTAACCTGATGATCGTTTGTCTTATTTTTACTTTCTGTTTTTGCTTACCTGAAGTTATATTTATCAACTATCATTTTCTACACTCATTCATTTTTTATCAATTGATATTTTAAATGTTAGTACTGTCAAAAAGGCAGTATAAATTATTTTATTGTATGTTTGTTGTGGATTCCGAGATGAAATTCAGTCTCCAATGAATGACAAACGCAAGAATTAAATATAGGAAATAAAATGCATTTACACAATGATACAAAGGGTAATACTGTTAGTAAATCCAGGAACGCGGTTAGTAGCAATAACATATAGATATATACAGTCTCGAAGTAGGACTTCCTTAGAGTCTACGTGCTTGTGACTGAGTTCTACAAGCGGTTACCTCACACTATTACTCTACCTCCAACTCAATCACAGTCTCAGTCTTCTACTATCGCTACTCACTCTGACTGACTCTGGGTATTTAACGGCGGCAGTCCAAGTAACACTTTGGTCGAGTCCACTTATATGAAAAAGGGGAGGACACCATAACAATGTTAAATAATGACTTCATCATCTCTGAGTATTTTAGGCTTAAATTCTGATTTATATTTTCATTTTTTGTTTCTGCCATCTTTTTTTTTTTTCTAAAATTAACAAACTTTTCGATATTTCTGTTTGTTGACTTATGCACCATTTCGTAATTTGTCTTGATTTCTAGTGTTTTTGTTTACCTTACGTTTTATATATTCAAGAACGTTAAATTTTTTGAGCTTAATATATGTAATATTTATATACGTACATTATATATGTTACAAAGGTTGTCATAGTTGGGGGTGATAGTGGGGACAAGCTCCCACTGTCTATAAAATACTTCCGTGGCTTGGGTCTCAAATAGCCTCTGGCAACTAAGTTAACTTCCAAGCCGGAGACTGGCGCATCATAACCAGCTGCTTCTGGTAGATGGAGCTCGACATCCCAGGAAAGATCTAATCACTGGTCAAAAGTGGTTGGTTTATTATAACTCGTTTTAGTTTACATTCCCCGTGAGGAGACAAGTTCTTAAAGTTTTTTCTTTTGTTTCTAGCTCTCAACTTAGTTACATTTTAAGATCTAGATATCGAATTTTACTAAAATATTAAATTTTCCATGACATTAAAGAATAGAAATGAACCGGATGTTTAGCCATTGAGTGTTTCTTCACTTAATTTCCGTTTCAAAACTTATTTTCGAATTTTCGAGGAAAGGTGCTAACTAGACATACCCGGAAATACATTTTAAGTTGTTGATTAATCTATCATATTTTTCTGTTTGTTGTGACTTTATTATATTTCGATATATTAATAAACTCTTTTATGAATTGTTCACTCTGTGTCACTGGCGTGTTTATTCTAAAATAAATACGTAAAAATTAACCTTCCTTTCTGCCGGAAGCTGATAGCTCAGGGGTAAAATCTCCGACTAGTGCCAAATCGCTTGGGTTGCAATCCTGGCTTGAGGCAATCGGATGTCTAGCCACACTGATGAGCTTGATACAGCGAAACAGTCTGTCTGTGGATGACACATATATTAATAAACGATGAAAATAAAAGAATATTGTCTTTCATTAAGAATGACGAGAGAAACAAATATGGCCGACATATCAAATAGCTTTTGTAAACAATTATCGACATCTGCCTACTTTGTGTTTCATTATCTATAGTGCTGAGTGCATGATGCAACCTTACTGTTTATAAGAGGTTTTTTTAAGCTGAGTAAAAATTTCTGATAACGTTTACTTGTATATAATACGACCCCCTTTTCTTGCCTTTCATTTTTGTTCAAAATTTCTTGAATTATACGCAGTAAAAGTACGGTATTATAATTTCACACTGGAAAACTGGATTAGGAGTGCTTTTTCATACTTTCTCTCTCACACATTCCTCTCTCTCTCTCTCTTTCTCTCTCTCTCTCTCTCTACCCCCTCTCTTTCACATACCCCTCTCTCTCTCTTTCTGTTCTGTCTCTCTCTCTCTCTCTCTCTCTCTCTTACATAAACGCGCACACATAACTTCTATTTGAGGACACTTAACTGAAAATTTTCTGCATATGAATATTTATGCTTGGTTATAAATTGCACATCAGAATAGTAAGAGAGAAGGACAGAAAAAAGCGAAGGAGTAGGCAGAGGAGAAGAAAAGAGGAAGGAGAAGTAGGAGAAAATACACACGTACAGGTGGGGTGGTATATGAAAAGAAAGAAAGAAAGAAAGAAAGAAAGAAAGAAAGAAAGAAAGAAAGAAAGAAAGAAAGGAAGGAAGGAAGGAAGGAAGGAAGGAAGGAAGGAAGAAAAGAAAATGCAAACAGCACACGAGAAGGAGGGGGAAAGAAGTAGGAGTAGAAGGAGAGAGCAATCGAGATGAGCAGAAGTAATAGGAAAAGAGAGAGGAGGGGTAATAGAAGCAAAGGAAAGGTGAACAGTAGAAGGACAAGAAGAAAGAGAGAGAAGAGTTTATGTAAGAGAGACAAACAGATAGACAAAGAGAGAACAGAATGAGAGAGGGGTGTGAGAGAAGAAGAAGAAGAAGAAGAAGAAGAAGAAGAAGAAGAAGAAGAAGAAGAAGAAATGCAGGGAATATGGCACACTTGAATATTATATGTATGGGTCTCCGTTTTTAGGAAGCGCTCTATAACAGTGGATGCAATAAAGAAGAAGAAGAAGAAGAAGAAGAAGAAGAAGAAGAAGAAGAAGAAGAAGAAGAAGAAGCAGCAGCAGCAGCTGCAGCAGCTGTGTAGGAGAAGAGATACATAGGTCAAGTCTAAAGAGAGTTGTGTGCATATAAATATTGCACTGAATATTTGACCAGGTGAATATTGCATATTTAAAGTGCCTCATCACAGTCTGTGCTTGACTTGCCAATTTCTAACTACAATTTACGCTTGGTTAGTCAAAAAGAAGAAATTAATATTGCATTTTATACATATTTTCTACTTGCATGGAGATAGAAGTCGAGCAACTGCCTAATTAAACTGAAGTGGACCTTAATCAATGCGAATTGATATAACTACAATTAGTCCATGTAAATTCTCTGCCTACATACATACAGGGTGCGATGGATAAATTGTCGTCTAAATTATGCAAAAATGAAAATAACACTGATATCTCATTTTAAGAGATATATTTACCAAAATTACAAAAAAATATCTTGAAATATTAAAGAGTAAATTTATTAATTAAAATTTCTATTGGCTTCAACAACAGCCTACAGACGACTTTGAAATCTGCTGCAAATCTTTTGGGCTGTCTCCTTGTTTAAGTTGTTGAATACTGCCATAATCTTTACCTTCAGTTCATCCTTGGTGTTACATGGATTTTCTTTTTGGTCTCAGCTCAACTATGGCGCGGCCCACACATAATAATCAAGGGGGTTGCAGTTTGGGGAGTTAGGTGGCCAGATGTAAGGGGTGATATGGTAGCAGAAATTGTCTGACAGCCATGACTGGTTTCTCCTGGTTGTGTGGCATGGTGAAGAGTCCTGTTGCCTAACATAGGTTCTTCCAGCAGCCATCCTCTTCACCCAGGGTAACACTACCTCCCTAAGGCACTTGATGTAGGCCTCCTTGTTGAGTCTGGGGCCTTGCGGAAAGACGAATGAAGTCATAACGTCGCCATCACTAGTGATCACTCCAAACACGATGATGTTGACTGGATATATCATCCAACACTTTCTGAATCCTCTGTATTCTCCTCAGATTGACACCCAAATATTCTGAAATGTTCGTCTTGGAGCTTCCGATGCAAATGCCAAGCAGTACAACATGGCTGTTTCAAAATTTCTGGTGGAGTGAATTGCGTATTGAGGCTCTTTTTCTCACAGACAGTGTCCAACTAACACTACTATACTGTGCAGAAGACAAAATTAAAAACAAACAACGCGCATGCGTGAAATTAAAAATATAAAATGGTGACAATTTACCCATCGCACCATGTATAAACTTGCAGAAATTAAAAAAAAACGTATCTATGGAGACAAAAATGATCTTGTACATAATGATCTTATATATAATGATCTTATAATATAATACATATAATTGTCTTATACATAACAATGATCTTATACATAACAATTTATCAATTGCATTCGTCATACATAGAAATAAGTTGAACCACAACTTCGATCTAAAGAATGCCACCCTTATTAAAAGAGAAAATAACTTATTTAGAGGGAATCTTCATAAGAGTGACACTATCGAATCACCGCCTCGGATTTCTTCAAATATCTCCTTTTCTAAAAGAAATACTCTTTCCCAAGTCAACATACTTGAACATAAAAATTTTTAAAAAAGAAAAGAAAACGCTTAAATTCAAAACCTTTATTTAAAATAAATAAATAAATACATAAATATTTTATCAAATTAAAAAAAAAATGATAAATAATAATTACGTTATAAATATAAAAAATAACATTAAAAATATTTCAACAACAACAATAGCAACATTTACTCACTTTCGTGTATTAGGCATTAAATTATATTATTTAAAGTCCTCTATAGTTTACCTTGACTTTCACAGCCTGAAGAATATTTATAAGCGTTCTTAAATTTTAAAAAATTGAAAACGTAACATTTTTCCTTCTGTTTATAAATACTTGTTGCAAAATAAAATCCCTTCATTTGCTTTGATAAATTCCATCAGTGGACGAAACGCGTCAGTAAAGAAATGTTTCCTTTTGTCTTTATTCATATATATATATATATATATATATGTGTGTGTGTGTGTGTGTGTATGTGTGTGTGTGTGTGTATGTATATATATATATATATATATATATATATATATAGATAGATAGATTTATTATTCTAAGCGTTGTTTTTTAGCAGAGAGATTTGATTTCGGTTGTTATGACTGTTTCTTTTTTTTTTTTTTTTCTTAAACAATGAAATTAATAACAACCTGCCTAAATTGAGAGAGTCCTACTAAAGAAAGATTGTGACTCTGACAGAAATCGAACTCCTTTCCAGCCAAGAAAACCACTCATATATCCGAAATGTGCTTTTACCAATTTGACTATACCTATTTGAGACGCTGAACCTGTTTTTATTATTTATAGATTAATAACAGCCCAGATTGAGTAATACTAAAGAAAAATTGTGCATTCCTTAAATAGATAATTCAAACCGCGCTCTATTAACGCGGCCCCCGTAGCCGAAATGATAAAGGCAAGTTTTGGCCATAGAGACGATTTTCCTGATGGTATAATAATTAGATATAAGTTTGATTCCTGTAGGAGGCATAGTCTTTTTATAGTAGGACTTCTTAATCTAAACTGATCGTTTGGTTTGTTTTACGGCATATCAACATCTCAATGGGTTATTTAATACCGACAAGAATTTTATTGCTGGTAATATTTTTTTTCAAAAATGTATTGCTGCTAATATTTTTTTTATTCGAAAATGCATTGCTGGTAATATTTTTTTTTTTTCAAATATCTATTGCTGGTAATATTTTTTCCTTCAAAATGTATTGCTGGTAATATATTTTTTTCAAAAATGTATTGCTGGTAATAATGTATTGCTGGTAATATTTTTTATCTTCAAAAATTAATTGCTGGCAATAATTTTTTACAAAAATGTATTGCTGGTATTAATTCTATTTTTATACTTTCATAGTGTTTTGGCCCCAGTTTGGGGGTTAACTATTTGCCCATAGCTGGAACCCTAACAGGTTCTACCACACTGGGTCAGGACGGACCTGGGAAAACCAGCAATTAAGAGGTGGTTCCACGCTCCTCAAAACCTCCTGATCAGAGGCCTTGCTATCGGATGTAGTTTATCGTCTTACCCAGGACGTGGATATTGCTTATCGTCATACCCTGGATGCATAAACTGATTCTTATTAATTTCACTGTTTTTCTGTTCAGTTTTTTACTGTATTTATTTTGTACTAGCAGTAGAGCCCGGCGTTGCCCAGGGATGTAACAGTAAGAGATAGATCAAGTATCGACCATCATAAAGACTGAAAAATAAAATTGACAAAGATTATTGTTTAAGGTTGACGGAAACGCATGTCTTAATTAGTTTTATTTTTATTTTATTTTTTTTTTACGAATTGGTCAAACCCAAACTCAAACAAAAACATTGTTTTCAATCGTTATGAGTCTACCGATTGAATAGAATTTTATTATAAACAATTGTCTTGTAAATGGAATTTTTAAAGCGTTCTGAATGTAAAAATAAAGAAAAAAGTGTACAAGATAATAAGAAACACTACCTGCCAAAAAAAAGTTTTGTTGAAATCGGTTGAAAAATGTAGGAAATCCGATCCCATATATAAACAAACACACACACACACACACACACAACCAACCTGGGTTTTATAATAAGTATAACTCGATATTAATAAGTATAACTCGATATGAGTTGTCCCCCTTTCATTAATGCCTCTTAATCGCAAGGTAATTTTATGTAGTCCTGTGAAGTTTTGTTGAAATCGATTGAAAAATGTAGGAAATCCGATCCAATATATAAACGTACAGACACACACACACACACACACACACAATCTGCGTTTTATAATAAGTAAGATTTTTATTGTATTTTGCCAACAAATTGAATTAAAAAAATATGGATAAACTGCCTAAAGTTTAAGCGTTCGCTTTGTTTTTGTCAAGTACTTCCGACCGTCTCAGGAATTGGGTGTGGCCAGTATGGTAGACACAATCTTGTTGGCTACTATCTGGCATTTTTGGGAACGCTACAATTGGAACTTAATATCGTATGTGACGTCACGTGTCTTGTAGTGCAATCACATACTTCCGTTCAGTGGAAGGAATGGAAAAGCGACACAAACGGGAATAGGACAGTCGAGTATCAACTGATATTTAATATGGAAAGTAGAATTAAAAGAAAAAAACTCATGTGAATTAAATAAAGAACTCGATTAAAAAAATCTCTGAATGTTACTTTGTACGACGACGGATATCCGAAGAATGTCGAAGAATGTCGAAGAATACAACGACTAAAGAAAATAAAATGTTTGCATTATTTACATTATTCGAACTGTTATCCTCATGTTGTACGCTCCGGCCTTCTTCGGGTGATTCTTCAAGGACACATGACCCAGTGGATAAAGGCATTGGTTAGATCCAGTGACTAGACCCAATGATAAAAAAAATGATTGTCACTGAATAATGGCAAATTTCTTCATAAGTATATCTGATTTGATTTTAAAAAAAACACAGGAAATTCCAGGGAGAGATTTCAGTTGGAAACTTACTAGCCTTAGACACCACCTGCCTATGACCTTAGAGTAAAGGTCAGGTTAGCATGTGAAAATATTACATTTGACGGTTCATGAACTCTTATTAATTCTACCACTTGAAAAGTTATATATTAATAATTGAATTCTCTATTAATAACAATGTCAATTATATTTAGTTGTTCAAATCCATTTTAAAGATGAAAAGAAAGAGAAATACAGATGGAAATAGAAAAGATGTCTCGACTTTTAGTATTTCATTTCACAGATGAGCAATTATCAGTATACTTGTATTATTTGAAAACTATTGTTCTCATTTACATTATTTACATTATTTGAAGTGTTATTCTCATCTTCATTGCCATATTCACAATGTTTCCGGCCATCTTCAGGTGATTGGAATTTCGAACCGAACCCTTTATTTCGTCCACCGGGGTAGATTGTTCTAGTTCCACGTGCCATGCCTCTTCCAGATGTCTCAGTTATTTCCCTTTGACTCAACTCTCCAAGGTTTTTTGTTCACTACTGCTGTAGCCTGGTATTGAACTCATATAGACTGAAAATAAAACGCTGTAATTATAACAACCATATTGCGCATGCTCGTCCGAATAGCAAGGCATATAATAATTGTTTCTCGTAGTTACTCCTTTAATGGTATTGAGGTTGCCGGCAATTATTATGAACGTAAATTCATTTTTTTTTTCTGTTATCGGCTTTTTCAGATCCATTTACGGCCCCTTAGCTTTTGAAAAAGAGATGTATTCATAACTGTCATTTTGTGCCTTTGGATTATGAATCCATCTCCTCTCTTCCCCTCCCACCAGCTATGGATTAAATAGTAGGACTTGTATCTGGAAAATCATTGTTATCTCAAAAAAAGTAGTTAATGCAATAGTCACACGCAAAAAAAAAACAAGAATTATTCTTACAATCCAAAAATTTATATTTCGTCTTTTAATAACCCACAAAGGTTAAGCCGTAAAAGGGGTCAATCCATCCCTCTTTTCGTGTCCTTACTTTTGTACTGAACTCCCCAATCAAACTTGTTTAGTATGTTTTCTCTCTAAAATTCAGCTAATATCATCATAAAAGCTATCACTTTCCGCGTTAGTTTTTTTCGAAGTTGGTGCATACACTTTAATTATTTTTTGAGTGTACCTTTCATATAATCTGGATCTTATCCAAGATACTGTGACTGATATACTGTTGATGCTTGTAATGAACCTTGATTAAAATTCTTTGTCTCTAAACTAGCTATTCCCCTACCACTTATAAAGTAGTGGCTTACTTACTTTGAGCTGAAAGACATTATCCCATTTCCTGTGAATTTCGCTAATACCTACCACTTGCTAGATGATGTCATTCAGTTTTAATCTTCTTTTTACTAAATGTTCAACTAATCAAGTTTTAACAGCTACTCAAGATAGAGCGTTATTGAATGAGTTTGTTGCATGGCCGTAAGAGGAGAAACTAAGTGCATATTATGAGGATATGTAGGTTAGATAAGGGTTAATACTAGACTTGAAGACGTTAAGATTGTGTTGATTAGGGAAGCAATCTCTCACGAGTCTATTCCACGAAGTAATTGTTCTCTGGGCGTAGCTGTCTTAATAGAACTTTCTCCTTAACAATGGAATACGAACTAGATGCGGATGAGTAAACTATGTACGGAGTTTAGCGGTTTCTAGATGTGAATGTCCGAATAGGTGAAAATAGAGAATGTAGATCACGAGAACATTTTCCATGGCAATATCGATAGAGTAGCGTGAGACTAGCGACGCTTCGTCTGTGGCAGAGGGGTTGTCGAATGGAAAATAATTCATTACCCACAAGGTCGTGTAGATGCTTTTGAACTCTGTCAATGCTGGGAAATTAGGTGGTCTACTCTATGATCTTCATTTATTCTTTGAACGTTATATACCACCTCCACCAGCATATTTAATACCACCATAAAAGTAACCAATAAGGATTACAAACTGAAATTTCTACCAGTCACATATACACAGTCATCAAAAAAAAAAAAAAAAAAAAAAAAAACAAGCAGATAACCAGCTTTAAAATAATAACAAAAAAAAATTTTTTCAAAAATTAAAAATAAAAATTATAGCAATTTTCATCTATCATAATTTTACACAGAATGCCTATTATCAGGATTTATACCAAAATAAATTAATATATATACCAAAATAAAATAAAACACCAACAATCACTTTTTAGTTCAAACTACCACCACAATAATTACATTTATTGTTTTTATCATTCTTCCACTACCATTACTAATCACTTCTACCAATTTACAATAACTATTAGATACTTATATTATCATTGTCACCAATCCCTTACAACATTACTATCACATCACATCACATGTATTATTATCATATAAACCCTCAATAATTATTAACGTAAACTACCCCCTCCCCCAGCATATTTAATACCACCATAAAAAATAACCAATAAGGGTTACAAACCGAAATTTCTACCAGTTACATATACACAGTCATCAAAAACAAGCAAATAACCAGCTTTAAAATAATAACAAATAAACTTTTTAAAAATTAAAATAAAAATAATAGCACTTTTTACCTATTATAATTTTACACAGACCCCACCACACATATATACGTGCATGCGAGGAAATATTATTCAGCGAAAAAATAGAAAAATGCTCTGATTGCTGACATGTATACATTCATGAGACATTCACGAGAAATTTTCGCTACACTTCCGATCTTTGAATTTCAACATACAAATGCGTATGTATAGACACAACACCACCCATATATATACATATGTCAAATCCCATACTCTCCACATATGTTTATATCTGTATGAGTCCCGACGGGCGAGCAAGTGTGTATGTGTGTCTGCGTACCTCATCGGGTGTACGGACATGCATCTATGTTTGCGTTAGCACGATGACATCACGACGACGATTCCACCCCCACTTCCATAATAACACCAATACACGCAATCTGCATAAACCTAAAATTAAAAAAAAAAAATCAGTTTGTCTGACGATCGCAAAAAACGTGAAACCCAGGGTCACAAACTCACATCAATCCAACCAAATATGTTAGCTCTATCTCTGATATTGAGCGCTTTCTAATAAGTACTGCGCAATAATATATATATATATATATATATATATATATATATATATATTTATATACACACACAAACACACACACACACACACACATATATATATATATATATATATATATATATAGTGTATTGGGGCAGCAGATCATTATTCAAACATATTGTTAAATATAACAAACAACGAATGCCTATAATGTCCGATCATGAGCGTCGTATAATGGCTTTAGTTCCAAGTGATTTCAGTGATTCATACGACAAATGGTGTGAAGATAGCTAAACAAACGTCTTATCTGAAAATCTAGAAAAAAAGGAAGTCAATTAGTTTAGTGTTTTTTTTTTTTTTTTTTAGATATTAAACATTTTGTGGAATGGACAATTATCTCATGCTGTTACACGAGTTGGACAATTTTGTTGTTACACCATATATATATATATATATATATATATATATATATATATATATATATATATATATTTTATTTTGTCATGTCCTTTTCCTTTTACTCTTGTTTATAGCAAACTTTTTTAAAATTCCGTTCGTTGAGCATTTTTGTCAATAAAACTTAACCATGGCCATCAATGGTGATTCTGAAACTCTAAAATTGGTGGGGGGGGTACACTAGGGGCCGAGATTTTTCTGCGGAGGAGGGGAGGCAAATTCAACCAGCGTCTTTATTTTCATACTTCACCATTATCGTATACACAGCTTAGGAATTAGTTTTAGTAATAAGTATGTTACTTCACTAAATTAAACGGAATAACTTTTCATTCATAGTATTGGAGTTCTAATCTATTCTTGCTCTCTTTTCTACTCTCAAGCTGTTGGACCACAAGAGAGGGGTTAACTTCAAAACAAAATCAAAGGGTTAATACTAACGTTAATAATAGCAGAACAGTGTAATTTGTCTGCTCTGATATGTTTCCTCTACAAAACTTAGAAAATGGGGAGGCAACCGAGGTGCCAGCCAAAATTCTGGGGGCATTGGCCCATTCTGCCCTCCCACTCCCGTAGAATCGCCAATGATGGCCATTTGGGTGTTGCAATCGGGACGAGCAGAAGTAATAGAGAAAGAGAGAGGAACGGGAATAGGAGGAAAGGAAAGGTGAACAACAGGAGAACAAGAAGATACAGAGAGAGAAGCGTTTATGTAAGATAGACAAACAGAGAGAGAGAGATGAAAGAGATAGAGAAGAAGAAGAAGAAGAAGAAGAAGTGTTTAAAGAGAGTTTTGATTGACTTGAAGGAACTGAGTGGATGCTCAGCTGCGCAGTGATCCTACCACCACACCTGGTTATTGATACTGATGATGATGACGATGATGATGATTATTTGAATAGATTACTAACAAGCAAAAATTGTATACGCGAGAACAAAATGTCTAACCAACTATTAAATGTCTCACTTTTTATTTGAATTAGAAATATTATTGTCTTCAGTTTAAAGCTCTTTTAGCGTTAAAGAAGTCCTGACCTGCTTTCCTTTTATCATTAATTGCTTTCAGAGATTAAAAATTAAGATCGGAACTTCCTAGCAACACAAAATAGTTTGTTGATATACAGTGCTACTACTGCACTTTGGATATGACCAATGTCTTAAATGAAAGGTTAGTCTGCCCCAGTTTTTAAACAAATAATATGAGTTCAGAACGCTTCCTCTGTGAGTATTTTTTTTTCATAATGCCGGGTCAGTGATATTCATTACTAAAACATTAATTTAAAAATGTAAGGATTTTAAATCAAAATATTATCATACCTTACCTAGATTTCTAGTAACCGGCCAGTGACTGCTCTACGTACCGTCTCCATTCTCGTTCATGTCGCTGTGCAACAACAAAAAAAAAAAAACACAGGCAAAGGTCCGCTGCACGTTCAATGCGTAATGGAAGACGAAAGCAAAGGCCAGGGCGAGAAATGAGACTCCGAATCCTGTTTCTAATCTATTTTGGCGTCTTGTCCCACTTTTTACTTGTACGGTTCGAGTGGATAGATCTGTGACAAAGTGGAAAAGTTTCTGCCATGTCTGAGTAGCATCTCAGCTCTTCTCTACTTTTAACTCTCTACCAATATCAACATCACGACAGATGGCTGGCAACACGAACGAGCTACATCGGAACTACCCGAGAAACAGTTTGTCCTCTCCAACACCCGATAAGGGTGGGCCCGGACTGGCTTCCTTAATTCCAATAGTGGTTGTTGATGTATGTCAGAAGCCGAAATTTCTAATGTCCATCTTTGTTGTCACTTGATCTAAAATTCTTTCATTTATTTATTTGTTTCTCCCCTTTAGGTCAAGTGAATCTTTTTTAGAAGATCCAACTTCAAAGACCCCATCCATCGGCCATAAAACAAAAACACTTAGAATCAAGATAAAATTATACCTTCCTCTTCGATATAGGTGTCAAAAACAAGTATATGAGCTCTTCTTCCCGTTCATGGCAAGCTTTTAATCCTCTTTTACTGGGCTTGCTTGGAAAGCCACCTACTCGCATTAAACAGAAAATACATTGTTTCAAATCCTTATAAGAAGCATTTTCATTTGTTAAATTTTTATACATTTATTTTTTTCAGTTTATTAATTTTTGACAGATTTATTCTCAATTTTTGATATATTTATTTATTCAGTATGTTGCCAATTTTTATTCATGTTGTATCAGATACGCAATCGTTAAAATTGTAGTAAGCTGAAGCAAATCAAAATTTAAATGTAATAAACAATTATTTTAGAGCCAATAAGAAATGCTCCCTTCGAAATAAAAGCTACAAAGGACTTCAAAGTGTTTGGGCTCATAACATCTGTATAGATTGCTATAGCATACAAAGAAATACAGGATGTCCATAAAGTTCGTGTGCACTTTAAAAAATTTATAATTTTATTTGTATTTGCGATAGAAATAATCTGTAAAAAATATTATACAGTTTCATGTAGATAGTTTTAAGTATAGCTAAAATAACTACAGTGTAACCCGGATATAAGAGACCCGGATATAAGAGAAACCCGGTTATAAGAGAGATTTTCTCTGGTCCCAAATTAGAGCTTGTGTTAATGTATATAAAATAGACCAAACCCGGATATAAGAGAAACCCGGATATAAGAGACTTCTTCTCCGGTCCCGACAACTCTCTTATATCCGGGTTATACTGTAATGTGATTTCAGGCATTACTGTAAATCAGTTGGCAATTTTTTTCCGTGAACTGCAAAATCGTATTACCCTTTGTATTGCTAATGATGGAGGACATAAGGAAACTTAAATAAAATTTCATTAAAACCATACAAAATATAGATTTACTTCTTTCTAATCCTTTTTACAAATTATTTCTATCGCAAATACAAATAAAGTTATAAATTTTTAAAGTGCACACGAACTTTATGGACACCCTGTATCTGTCTTAGATCTACTAACCAATCAGAACAATTCTCAAAAACAGCTTATCTGATCTGACTAGATTTATATAAAAAGAAAGCTGTCCAACAGTAAAGTCAGAATCGATTCCATTCATTCATCTCTCTTCGACTCATGCACAACTACACGCATATATACACTCTCCCATTGAACACACAGGTCATCCAGTTAAAGAGAGTCAACTGCCCCCTTGGTCACATACCCACACACTTTCGAGTTCGCATTTTTCGTTCTGGCGTTTGCTTTCATCTTCCGTTACGTTTTGAACTTGCTGCGGGATGATTATTAGGGTGTTTAGAAAGTAATTATGTTGTCGTGCCCTATCGGAACTCCAATTCTTTAACTCAAATGGAAGTGCTCACTTCGACACCCGCAGAACATATTACCGAAAAAAAAAAAAAAAAAAAAAAAAAACGTAATTCTGTCCGGCTCGCGCGTCCACTTCCGGAATACCGCCCCAAAATACCAGAGCCATAAACATCTTTCCTGGCCAATCAAAAAAAGGGTCACGCGGTTTTCGCAGCAGCTGTTTCTGAGCCACTGACTCACTATAATGACAACGCTGATTCCACCCTCGAAGGCAGATCTAACTATAAGCGATGGAACCCACGGAAGGCAAGTTTAACCAAGCCATCAGTAGAAACATCATCAACAGCGATGTCTTTGGTCAGCGATGAAATCAGTAGCAGCACAGACTAACGCTCGACTGCATATGCATGTTGATTTTCTCCTACATTATCTCACTCGACTACATATGCCACTCACGAAGGCAGATTTGATCAGGTTGGTATTAGCGACGGACCCCCACAACAAGCAAGTTTAACTAAGCCATCAGGAACAACACCCCTCATATTCGGAGTGCCTAATATCCGGAATCCCTCATATCCGGAGTGCCTAATATCCGGAATCCCGCATATCCAGACATGATTTTGATGTGTATATTTGAACTATTTGGGTGATATGTCACTGATTGGAAATTTCTGTTTTTCAGGAAATTTACTTTGGATAATTGCTTATGCTTATTTCACCCTAATGTCTTGTATTGGTGCAAAAGATGATGGGAATAAGAGGAAAAGATGACAACAAGACACATTTGCAACAAGATAGCAACGAGATGCATGATTGTGATGAAACCTGGACTGAAATTGAAAAAGCTATTGAAAAGGTTGTCAGTTTTATGGAAAGAAAGCCAGCATTCAGCTATGACGATTGCAATAACACACGCTGAGTTAAAAAGTCTCTTTCGTTTAAAAAATTTCAAGCAAAACGAAATGCGGAAAAAGTTGAGAATGACATTAGAAGAGAAAGAATCATCATGCAACAGCGATTAAAAAATCCTCGTTACATTATTTGGTTTGCATACGTGGCATACTTAATTTAATGAATTTTCATTAACAGTACATAATTTATTTCTTTTTCCTTAAAGTCAATTCCGTTATATTTCACTCACCATTAGCTTATTTTGTTTACTAAAAAACATTGAAAATAAATGTAAAACCTGATTTCAGTTCTTTTATTTTAATCTAAATATAACTCCTCATATCGGGACTTTGTAACCAATTCCTCATATCCGAAAGGCCTTGTTAGTCCAGGGATTGTACTGTATTTTATTCTTGCCATAAAAATAATGGCATATTTTATTAAATATTATTAAAAGGTTTTCACGTGTGAGACTTTAAATTAGTTTAAGTGGGGTGATTTTATGACATGAATTGCATTATTTAATATTGAATTTTGTGTGTGGCACTCAGTGAAGATCAAATTCACTACTCAGTATCAATGGTCCATAAGACTAGCCTTTCTAACTATTAGTTCACATCAAGGTGTCTTTTAAATATATCGTTTGATTTGTTTTACGGCATATTATCCTCAATGGGCTATTTAATGCTGGTAATATTTTTTTCAAAAATGTATTGCTGGTAATAATGTATTGCTGGTAATAATTTTTCTTCAAAAATTTATTGCTGGTCATAATTTTTTACTTAGTATTTCTAGTATTAAAGCTTATTTTTACACTTTCATTAAGAGGTGGTTCCGCGCTCCTCAAAACCTCCTGATCAGAGGCGTTGCTGTCGGACGTAGCTTATCATCTTACCCAGGACGCGGATGTAGTTTATCGTCATACCCAGGACCGTTTAAATATGTCTTCCAATTATATAGTACAATGTAGTAATTCTGGTGTGGGGGAAATCAATTTATTAGTTAAAAACAACAGAAAATCAGTCCGTTACTTTATGTCCATTAGAATCCTCTTATTAAAACGTATTTATTCTTGCCATAAAAATGACGGCATACTTAGTTAAATTAAAAGATTTTCATGCATCAATCTTTACATATATTGCGTGCCTGATGAGTAGGGTAAAACAACGAAATTTAAGTCGCACCCCAAACTTAGGTATATTTATTAAGATATATATATATATATATATATATATATACATCGGGTCCTGCAAGCCTTCTTTGTGCAAACAACGTGAGTGTTTGCTGGGACTCGCTGTCATCTGCCTCTAGTTCCTTCTTGCATATATACAAATATATATATATATATATATATATATATATATATATATATATATATTTTTCCACCTATTCTTATTGTACATTTCTCTGTTTTAATTTTGAATCTCCCGTGGAAGCCTGAAGAGCGGGAGCGAAACCGGTTGCCCCCCCCGGTTCAGAAGAAATATGGAGTCACTTCTGAACCTAATTTAAATAATATTATTAATCTGTCCACGCATGAACTAACTGAGTTAGAATCGTTTGTTCTTTCTCACGGATTGGACTTCTCCATTCCTCCCTCTATGCCTGACAAGGAGAAGATTTTTTCCGAGTTCGAGGTTTTCTATGCTCAGTTGGCAAGACTCTCTCCTACCTCTGTCGACGCAGCTACTAATTTGAAAGCCCAATAATTGAATAATTTCGCACACACCTTTTCCTGCTCCTCTGTCGCAACTGCTGAATCCAAATGGAAAGCAGAACATCAGCGTGTTGTTAACTCTAAGGAATAATTATAACTTGATAATTTCCAGACCTGATAAAGGTGCTGGTGTAGTTATTTTAGATCGAGCAGACTATATAACCAATATGTCTTCTATCTTAGAAGACACTTCAAAATTTACTAGACTTGGTTCAGCTGACACCTGTGATGGAACCTCCTCGTGTGAAGCGAAATTTCAAAAATCACTTTTAAAGTGGGTAAAATCAGGGTTACTTTCAAAGGAAATTGCCAACGAAATCCGTCCTTCCGGTTCGATTCGTTCCCGATTATATGGTCTCCCAAAAATCCATAAGGAAGGTGTACCTTTGCGACCGATTTTGTCCATGATCGGGTCAGCCCAACACAAAGGTAGCCCAATGGCTCTCCACACTTTTTTTTGGATCCTGTGTTGCAGTGCCTGGATGGTTTTTGTATCAAGGATTCCTTTTCCTTTGTTGACCGCGTGCGAAATTTGTCTTCTTCTGGTAAGTTCATGGGCTCTTTCGATGTTTCTTCCTTGTATACTTGTGTCCCTTTGATGGAAACCATCGATATTTGCTGCGACTATCTCTTTCGCAGTTCATTAACTCCACCTAGTTTTCCTGAGTCAATTTTTCGGGAATTGATGAGATTTGCCACGTCCTCCGTCGAATTCAATTTCAACAATACTATGTACCGACAGATCGACGGAGTCGCTATGGGCTCGCCTTTGGGTCCGGCACTTGCTAACATATTTGTTGGCTTCCAGGAAGAAAAGATACGAAAGAATCCACTTTGTCCTCAACTGTACTGTCGGTATGTTGATGACACCTTTTGTTTATTTAACGGTGAAGTTGAGGCTGACCAGTTTCTTTCGTTTTTAAATGGTATCCATCCGGCACTGAGGTTTAGTATCGAAAAAGAGTCTAATCATCAATTGGATTTTTTGGATGTATTAGTACATCGTACGTTAACAGGTTTTCTTACTTCCGTTTATAGAAAACCTACTTTTGCAGGGTTATACACGCGTTGGGACTCTTTTTGTCCCACTAAGCGCAAGATCAACATTATTAAAACCCTCCTCCACAGAGCATTAAAGATTTGCTCTGAGCCTTTCCTGAACGACGAAATTTATTAAGGATACCCTATGTAATTTGGGTTATCCTCTTGATACTGTTAATTCAGTTATCCGCAGTTAAGTTGAAGAGTTCAGAAGTGCCGTTCTCTACACTGTCAAAAAATGCCCTGTTTACCTTAGATTACCCTGGATTGGTACCAAATGTGAAAAAATAGCCAAACAAATTTCATCAAAGGTTTGCTGTTGCTTTTTCTCTGCTGAAGTTCAGATTATTTTTCAAACTCGGCCTATGTTTCGATCTGCGTGTAAAGACGTTCTCCCTCCCCACCATATTAATTCAATTGTTTACAAATACGTTTGTAGTTGCGGAGCCAACTACATAGGGAGAACAACTCAGCGTTTAGACATTAGAATAAAGCAGCACGTTCCTACTAAAATTAGAAACCACACCTTGCCTTTGAATGGACTCGTCCCGAACACCTACAGTTCCGCCATATGCGAACATCTTTTAAATAGCAGAGATTGTGCTGCCAAATTTAGTGTCGACTGGTTCACCGTGTTGGCCCGGTCACACTCTGTATTTCATCTGAAGGTTCTGGAGGCGCTTTACATCGGGTCCCGCAAGCCTTCTTTGTGCAAACAACGTGAGTGTTTGCTGGGACTCGCTGTCATCTGCCTCTAGTTCCTTCTTGCATATATATATATATATATATATATATATATATATATATATATATATTCTTATTGTACATTTCTCTGTTTTAATTTTGAATCTCCCGTGGAAGCCTGAAGAGCGGGAGCGAAACCGGTTGCCCTCCCCCTTGTTGTTGAGTTTTTTTTTTATTATTTAATATTGTTTTAATATGTCTTGTAATATTAAATTTTATACTTTTATTTCGATCATTAAATTTTGTACCTACAAAAATATATTTATATATATATATATATATATATATATATATATATATGTACATAAATTTCAAGAGGATAAAATCCAGATTTGAATTTGTAGGTCTGATGAATTGGGTCGTGATTACGATTCCAATGTAATAAATTATAACCATGGCATATTAGTGTTTGTGGCTTATATATATATATATATATATATATATATATATATATATATATATATATATATATATGTGTGTGTGTGTGTGTGTGTGAAAAGTGTATATAAATATAAATAAATATATATATGTATAATTATTTATATGTTATATATGTGGTACTTATTAGAAAGCGCTCAATATCAGAGATAGAGCTAACATATTTGGTTGGATAGATGTGAGTTTGTGACCCTGGGTTTCACGCTTTGACGATCGCTAAAGCGTGAAACCCAGGGTCACAAACTCACATCAATCCAACCAAATAAATATATATATATATATATATATATATATATATATATATGCATACATAAAGAGAGACAGCAGACAGATGAATATCTATTGTATGTAAAGGTTAGCTGATTTTATAATATGTCAGCCCTTCTCTCTGAATTTCTGGGTTAAAGTTTTAGCATCAATAAGTTTATTTACATTCAGACAAATGTCCTAATAATTTGTTACAACGATTACAAGGTTTCGACTAAATTTCCTCTCCAGCTTTCGTCAAATGTCTGCGAATCGCTTGACCTTCAGTGAATTTCCAACTGAGCCCATTATTGAACCTACGATGTATAGATTGCTCTCTCTCTCTCTCTCTCTCTCTCTATATATATATATATATATATATATATATATATATATATAGATAGATAGATAGATAGATAGATATATGATGGCATACTTTGTTAAATATTATTAAAAGGCTTTCATTTGTGAGCCTTTAGCATATATGTTGGGTTAGGCTGGTTGATTTTTACGCCATGTTAATACCTTGCTAGGTATTTCATATTGAATTTTTTATGAGGCACCTAGGGAGGCACGAACTCATTAAAATGACTATCGTGATACACGCTTGAGTAATCATGGCTCTTTCCATTCATAAATGACTAGGCTGAAGATTTTATAGCAGGCTACCATTTCTCTCTGCAGTAGACTGATTTCCCAAAAAAGGTTCGAGAGCCTCTGTGTATTTAACCAAAAAGCTGGGGTAGTAGAGATGGTTTCATAACTTTACCGAAGTTATTTGCGCGTATGTGAACGTAATGAACCTGACTGGAATTCGAACTCGGCTCTCCATTTCTCATTACACCACACACCGCACATTTGAACTCCTTACTTGGCTGTAATGATCATTAATTGTTACTCCACGTTAAATCATTCTGTTTTATCTAATTATCTACACTTTGTTAATTTTATTCACCAAAAAGAGTAATGCAAACTCCTACTGTAATTCCTTGTGTATAATACTCATTTTTTCTAAAAAAATATAATTCTATTCTATGTTTAAAACCATTTTTTTTAAATAAAATTAGGAAACGCTGACCGTAATAAAATTGGACTGGTACAATTTATAGAGTTTGATTACCAAATAAGGGGTGCGTATTATGCGTGAGTAGAAGCATTTTCTTACACTGCTGTAGCATACCTACGGGTATGTCCCCATTCACATAAATACAGTAGTAAATACTGTATATTGGTCTAGAGATGGAGATTTGTTTCCAGCTGTGCTGGTCAAACCCTCTGACTCCGGGCAGAGAGGATCCCAAGACGAGGCTATGTCGAAGGGCAGAGTCTCGTCTCGGGAAACAGCTAACCGACCTCGTTTTATACTGGGTCTACGGGGAATTTGTGGCCAAGCCTATGGGCTCGGATACTCTACATTAAATTCGGCCTTGTGCCACATCTGACCGCGTGGGGCGTTTGGTAGATATCCTACAGTTGGACATTCATTGTGGAATTCACTTGACACACTTCTAGCAGTTGACTGGCGAATCTTATATGTGTTGTTCTTCTCCTAAGTATTATCGTTCATTTATTCTATTCCCTAGGTTACAACACACACTTTCAGCACAGTTTTAGGTGTATGTATTATGGATGAAGGCGTATTATACATGGGGAATTACGGTATTTAAATCTAGACGAGAATACTGGTGAATTAAATAATAAAGTTTTGTGTTACGTCGTCATATTTTGATGATAAATTGGAATGACGTTTGAATCACCAACCTGCTTCTTCAATTTCTCAGCCAAGGAAGTTTTAGGTTAAAGCACTTGACTAAAATATTTCTTTAGCTAGTTTGAATCTTATCTTAAAAACGATCACCTTGTGGGCGAACAATTATTTCAGCAGCCACAAGCATCACCAGCAGACTGCTCTGAGGCTGGATAGATATGGCATATAATAAATGCATGCATAACATGTAACAAAAATATTATACGAAATGGGATATGAACATATCAAATGATATCTAAAATGATATCAAACCAGATGTCAAATAGGATATCAAATGTATGCCAAATGAAATGCCAAATGATATCAAATGATATCTCAAATAATATCAAATTACATATTAAATGAGATATAAAATGATACCTAAAATGATTTCAAATGAAATATCAAATGATATCTTCAATGATATCAAATGAGATATCAAAGGAGATATTAAAAGTTAAATGCGATATCAAATGATATGAAAGGCCATCACAATTGAGATATCAAATATCTTAAATGATATCAAATAAGATATCAAAGGAGATATAAGATGCTATATCAAATGATATATGAAACGATACCAAATGCTATCTTAAATGATACCAAATGAAATATCAAATTATATATCAAATGGTATCTCAAATGATATCCAATGAGATATCAAAAGATCTCAAATGATATTAAATGAGATATCAAATGATAGCTCAAGTGATGTCAAATGAGATATCAAATGATATCGATGTATATTGATGTATCATGTTATATCAACTATATCAAATGAAATGTGATATGATATATATCAAATGATATGAAATATAATATAGATGTATGGCGTAGGATGTAGAGTGGTAGTACCTTGCAGTGAGGCGGTCCCATCTTTGCGACTAGCTCGGATGGTTTAGCTCCACCGGTCCAGGTATCGCATCCAACCCTCACCTATGGATCTTTGAAGCCGTTCAGCACGACGGCGACTACATCACGCGCAACGGCATCACCCTGACAGCCAAACTATGTGTGGATAGCTAGTCAGTGGCTCCCCGGCTGGTGAAGGGTAATCATAAGCCTAACTTGCACCAGTGCCACTCTCTCCTTGTCTGCGGACCGGACCGGGACATGGTTGGCTACCAAGATGGGAGCCTACCACCTGGATAGCTAGCGCCGGGCTAACAACCCAGCTAGGTGAATCTTTCTATTGTTATGATATCCACAATATATATATATATATATATATATATAGGCGCAATCGTCAAGCCTGGTGAAAGGCAATCATATCAGCCTAACTTGCCAGGCTGTTTCATGCTAGGGCAATCGTCAGGCCTGACGATTGCGCCTAGCATGAAACAGCCTGTCGCCTCTGAGTGTTGACTTCAATGTTCACTTTTATATTTATATTTGCATACGCTCTATCTCTGATATTGAGTACTTTATCCCATAAATATACCACAACTTAATTTCTTCATATATATATATATATATATATATATATATATATATATGATATCAAATGTATGCCAATATATATATATATATATATATATATATATATATATATATATATATATATATATGATAAATGGATAAATATCCAGAATGTTATTGTAGGTCGAGCAGTCGCCAAGTCAATATTCTATAACAATGATAATAGATATTACTCAGTGATTCATAATCCATAAGTCAGTAAGAAGCGACAACAGATGACAACTGTTCATGACACGGCTTAGAAGAGATTCCTTTGCTCATTCACCTGTCTTCATCACCAATCTGCGTGACATTTACACTTTCCTCCACATTTTCTCCCTTGCCTCTTTTTTTCTCACGCTGTTATAACCTAGGGAAGGTTACTGAATAGAATAATCACACAAAGGTTGGTAATGAACGATAATACTTAGGAGAAGAATAACACATATAAGATTCGCCAGCGGCGCATAGAAGTTCAACTGCTGGAAGTAAGTCAAATGAATTCCACAATGAATCTCGAACTGCAAGATATCTACCAACGCGGTCAGATGTTGCACAAGGCCGAATTTAATGTGAGGAGGAATTTCTAGCGCGTATTACTTATCATGCACTCAGGGGTTTCTCTGTCTTTGGACAGAGTGCACTCAGGGGTTTCTCTGTCAAAGGACAACTGAGAAAATAATACTGAGAGGTGCCCAGCCCTGGGTAACAGCTGCCCGAGGCCGCGCTCTCCCATTGCACCAGAGGGAGAGATCGGTGCTCGCACCGAGTCCAGCGCAACCGACGGTTGCCGGGGCTGAGGGGAGTTTTTGTTTCTGTCCCGGGTGTACGCGCTCGGATCGCCACCTAAAAATAGACCTTGTGTCATATCTCGTCCTAGTGGAGGCACAGAGTAAATACCGCCCGTAAGCTCGGCCAAAAATTCCCCGTAGACCCCGTATAAAACGGGGTCGGGTAGTTGTTTCCCGAGGCGAGACTCTGACCTCCGACATAGCCTCGTCTGGGTACCCTTTCTGTCCGGAGGCAGAGAGTTTGACCAGCATAGCTGGAGACGAATCTCCTACTCTAGACCAACATACAGTATTTACTACTGTATTTATATGAATAAGGATATAGCCATTATCTTCCGTAGGTATGCTACAACCCACACATACATGTGAAGAAATCACATTATTTTTTTATATTTTTGATACACGCTTAGGCGATCTTTCGATACATGACTGACGAGGCAGATTTTTTCCCGCAGTAGGTTGCAATTTCTTTAAACTAGTTGCCATCCAAGGCTATAGAACCTGGTCTATCCTGCTATTTACCCTGCTGAGGGGAGAAGAAGAGGATTCATACCTTTCTCAAGCGTATTAGCACGTAAGTGAATCCGACTGGAATTCGAACTCGGCTCTCCGATTCCTCAATCCAAGCCGCTATCCATAACTCGACCGTGCCTCCTCTGAGAATAATATAATTGTAAAAGCTAGAAAATAAAAATATTTTATATTTTTATATTTAAAAAAAATTCCTTTTCGTTTATTTCTTTGTTGTGGGTTGATTCAAATCGGCAAATATATTTTCTGGCCTTAGATAACCCGCAAAGCTTTAATAAGCCGTAAATAAACGAATCAATTATCCAATGAAGCACCTACTCTGTCCTCGGCGTATTCTTAACTCTAGCCGATAGGGCACTTGTAAAACTAGTATGAAAACAATCCCGCTGTCTGGAGAAGCAGATATCAACGAAAAGAACCATAATCAAGGCAGCATTACAGATTTTTGTTTATACGAATTACATTAACCAAAGAATATCCCCGTCCTGGGTATGACGATAAACTACATCCGCATCCAGGGTAAGACGATAAACTACGTCCAGCAGCAAGGCCTCTGATCAAGAGATTTTGAGGAGCGTGGAACCCCCTCTTAATTGCTGATGTTCCCAGGCCCACCTTGACCCGGGATGGTCGCACCTGTTAGGGTCCCAGCTGTGGGCAAATACTTAACCCCGAAACTGAGGTAAAAAGCATTTTGAAAGCGTAAAAATAGGTTTTAATACCAGAAATAATTTGTAAAAAAATATTACCAGAAATAAATTTATGAAGAAAAAAAACTATTACCAGCAATACATTTTTGAAAATTATATTACCAGCTATACATTTTTGAGGAAAAAATATTATCAGAAATATATTTTTGACAAAACAAAAATATTACCAGGGAAAAAAAGTTGTCGGCATTAAATGACCTATTGAGGTTGATATGCCGTAAAACAAAACAAATCAGTTAAAACCAAAGAATATCCGTTAATTATACATATTTGTGTTGGGGGAGGGGATAATCACAAAGATCAAAAGCAACCTAACTTAATCAGATTATGAATTAAATTATGTATATTCAACTGAGCTGCATACTAAACAGGCTAAATCGATTTTATAAAACAAGAGATGATTTTCTGTCTGTCAAACCCTGTGTGACCGTATGTAATGTATATACATTCATTTTTTACAGCATATCAACCCTTTGCAGGTTATTTAAAGTCAGAAAATATTTTTAGGCTGTAATTTTTTTTTTTGGTGGGGAGATAACAATGATCCCGTGATACAAGTTTTACGAATTAACCCATCACTGGATGGGGTGAGGGGAGAAAGAGGTGGATTCCTACATTTAACAAGAGTTTTTTTTTTTTCATTTAAATGAATATAACAAACCTAACTGGAATTAGCGCGATGGAGTAATGGATCGCGGCTCAGATTGGGGAATCAAAGAGCCGAGTTCGAATTCTAGTCGAATTCATTGCATTCACTTACGTGTTAATACCCTTGGGAAAGGTATGAATCCTCTTTATCTTCCCCCAGCTATGGGTAAATAGACAGATAGCCTTGGAATAGCAACTGGTCTACCGGCAACTTACTGCGGGGAAAAAGTCAGACATGTATCGAAAGATACATGACTGCCTAAGCATGTATCAACATGGGACAATACTGATTTTTTTTTAAAGAAAAGAAATCTGGAAATTAGACAGCATTTGTTTGCATTTTACTAAAAAAAAAAAAAAAAAAAAAAGCTTTCAATGAATTTCTGACATTCACAGCACCAAGGATATTGCATGTACAGATCTGAAACTTTATGACAATGGTTAATCTTTATTGCAGATCACAGAAATATAAACAGCTTAGATGCATCTTATGTATTTTTATTTTATAAGGTCCTCAATGGGGCCCAAAATGTCAAAAAGATACTGTCCACTTTTCTCATTTACAAAGTGCACCATACACGGCACCCAAATGAGTTTTGCCCTCATTTATGACCAAATGCGGGAAAAATCTACCTCGTAATTTATCGAAAGGTACATGATCGCCTAAGCGTGTATTACGGATGGCACATAACTGACTCTCCGATTGACAATTTCAAGCCATTATCCATTACACCACCCGCACATCAAAATATCTGCTATTTCCAAGGGGTTACCCATTTAGTTACTGACCAGACTGGACGTCACTTAACTTCAGTGATTGCATGGAAACCAATGTTTCAACATGATGTGCCTATAATCCATATCTTGCGAAGAGTTTTGTCCATTTAAGTTTTTAGTTAATAGACGTTTTTGTTTTGTTTTGTTTTACAGCATATCAACCTCAATGGGTTATTTAATGCCAACAAGATTTTTATAGCAGGTAATATTTTCTTTTTCAAAAATTTATTGCTGGTAATAATTTTTCTTAAAAATCTATTGCTGGTAATAATTTTTCTTAAAAATTTATTGCT